TGTTGGCAAATAGGACTAAACAATAAAAACTACACAATGTGTAAAACTGAAACAACCATAAAATTCAGCATGAAATCTATAAACACAAACGAAGTCTGGAAATGCAAAATGCGGCATTTCGGCCTTGTCAATTTATTTACATATTTTAAACGATTACATAATATTTACATATTTACAAAATGATATTAACTATGTACAATATAGCCACATATGCTTTGTCATCATGTTTTCCGTGTCTTGTTTAATCCATTTTGATAAAGTAAGATACATTCCTCAAAAACTTTTTAACGTCCCCAGAAACCTCAAACTGCTATGTAGCTCTTTCCTATGCGCGTGTCTATCAAAAATATACTTATTTCTCTTTACTCCTTCTAAATTCAAGCCCACTCTTGTCTTATGGTGTAATATTTGTATCACTCACTTTACGCACCTGTTTCTATAGTTACTAAGTATTTAGTCCGCTGTTTTCTGAAATTTTAAAATTTAGTTTCTTTTTCATTTAAGTTCTTATTTCTTTTTAACTATCAAAGCTATATGAATGATATTTTTACAACAGATTGTTTATACTAAAGCAGATATTTGTGCATGGATATCGTAATAGGTTTAATAGCAGTTCATGAAAAAAACAAAACAAAAATTATATAGTAGTTTAAAAAAGGATTTAAATACGATGAAGCCATAATTTAGAACATTACTAGCTGTAACCCGCGGGCTTTGCCCCGTTTAACTTCTTAATTTTCAAGATTATCTCGTTCGCATGGCTCAATCACGTCCTGGTTGAAGTTTGTTCGCTACGCTCACTCACCTTTAGGTTGGAGCTCGTTCGCTACGCTCACCCACCTTTAGGTTGGAGCTCGTTCGCTGCGCTCACTTGCCTTCAGGTTAGCTCGTTCGCTACGCTAACTCGCCTCCAGGTTGAAGTTCGTTCGCTACGCTCACTCACCTTTTGGTTGCAAATTAGCTGTTGTCATAAATGTAAAAGAAATAATAGTGCTGCACCCTGTTGGTAATCCTTGTAACTTTAATGCTATTGAACATCATAGAACAGAACCAACTTGTTTAATTGAAACAGCTGTTAAGATTCAATAATTCCATTTCTCATAAGGTTAACATGGGAAACTCCAGAGCCACTGGGGCGGAGCCCGAAAGGATTTTTGAAATAAGAATATGCCTATATGTTAATCGGGAATGTGAGCTATCATCATGCCAAATTTCAGCCCAATCCGACCAGTATTTTTCGAGTTTACTTTTCCCATACATACACACATACAGCAACCACCTCTTTTTTATAATAGTATAGATAGATGAGTATGCAGAAAAAGTTAGTACTTTACTTGCTCTTTTAAACGAGATATCAAACAAAAAAATTGGTTCAGCAGTTAAAAAGTAATACTGTAAAATATTTTTAAACCCATATTTTTCCTAAAAAAAGCTCAAAAGACTTCAAAGAGTATGTAAAAATATTTTTTCGCTTACACAGCGGTTAATCTCTTCTAAGACTAAATAAACTCAAAAAAAGTATATGTGATAATTTTTAAAAGGATTTTGTTTTAATCACTAGTTTCAGTAGCATTATATACCCTCCTTTAAAAAATCTGAACTAATAGTTTCAGCAAGAAACAAAATTCAAAATAATACTTGAAAATTCTAAGAGCAAATTAGTAGATACTACAAAATCTATCATTTGTGAGATACTGTGTAACCGTTGTGAGATAAAGGAAGTTGGACAAACACAAAGAAATGTAAAATTAGATCCAAAGAAGACATCTCGCTTGAGTGGGGTATTAAAAGTTAGTGCAATTTAAATTTTTGTTTTCAATTAAATCATAAATGCTAGTCACATTATTTTTAACCACAAATCAGCACCTTTTCTAAACCGATCCAGGATGATCATAACAATTCAAATCCCCATCAGAAATTAAAATTAGAAAATTTAACAAATTGAGTGGTCAAATTATTGAACTGGGGCAGTTTATTTAATATGACAGTGATTGGCTGGACATGTCTCATCAATTTCGCTGAAGAAGAACATGACTATGTAAAATGAGCTAACGTAATTGTTATATTTGGTCATTTTAATTATAACACTGTATATTCTCCCCTGTCCTATTAAAAAACGTTCAGGAAACAGCCTAATCAGGCTATTATGTTGTATAAGAGACTCTTCGACCTGATAACTCTGTAACTGGAAATCGTAGATCGCTCACTCAAAACTGTTTTTATTCCTCTTTCTCAGACGAACAAAATGAGCCTTCGCATAATGCTCAAAGTCTTATGGTTCAATTTATGCAAATTGTAATAGGACGCGGAATTTCTAGGAACAACCTAGAAAGATTCAAAATTGAAGACATATCGTCTTCAAAATTGGCCAAGATAGCACCAATTAGTGTGTTTGATCAACTGTAAATATGCACTGGCCGAGATAGCACTCATTTCTTAGGAAATTAGGCTTTGGCCGAGATAGCACTTGGCCGAGATGGCACTACATCCCCCAGGTCGGTCGGTAGCCGGGTAGCCCATCAATGGAACCCGTTAGACGCCACAGCCATATACACTTGACTTGACTTGAGGCTCGCCCCTACCTCTCGCCGCAAGAGAGACAAGAATTTTGCATTGTTCCACGCGCCTTTGATTGTTTGAGGCGGGAAAACTATTTGTGTGCTACGGCCCGCGCAACACAGGATATTGTTTTCGTATTAGTTGGCCTTTTTCCAAGATGACCGTGACCGTTAACTTATTTTATGGACTCCCTTGGAGAATAATTCAAAACTACAAAGAACATTTCTAATCCCACAGTATACTAGCTATTTAAATTATAAACACTTTGGTGTTTGAAAAATATTTTTGGACGATAAATTTTGCAGCTATTTTAAATCATCCAAGATGGCCGCTTGCCTCCAAGGACTCAACAATAGGCCTAATTGTGCGACTATAAAGCAATAACTTCCCATCTTGCGCTTGCGAATTAGTTCGGTACATATTTGTATCCACAGTTGCCAGGACGACTATTAAGACAACCAAAAATTACATTGACATTTAGGTATTTAATATGTAGAATAGTAATTGTTAAGTAATCTGGAAGACAACTAATTAAAATGAAGTGCGAAAGATGGGTTATGAGAGTGCTCAATGCCTGAAGCATAATCCGTTTGTTTGAGGTGCGAATTTTCAAGCTTGTAGAAAAAATAAATATCACAAAGTAAAAGGGCAGGGGTGAAAGTGACTGAAGTGACAGGATACCCGGTGGATTTTCAGTGACTGGATTCCAGTGGTATGCGGTAAAATATATAGTGACTGGCTTAGCAGCACAAATTTTACGTGACTGGCTTTCCCATGCAAATGCGGTGGTGACTGCATTAGCATAGCATTTTTTACGTAATTATATTTTAGTATTTTTTAGAAAAAAAGGGATATATACATTCAGAAATGTCTAGGCTTAAGATATTTACCAATATATATTATATATATATCATAGTCTTGAAATATATTGGGGGGTGCAACTGACTGACTTCCAGTGTAATTTTTATGTGACTGGCTTCCCGGGCGGGGCCGTGTATATATATATATATATATATAAATTTGAACGAATGGTGTTTTTGGCCTCTGGGGACATCAAAATGAAAAAGTAAATCGGTCCCGGGTCTAGGTCTTACCGTGCCACCTACGGTAATAGCTACTTCCCTATAGGGAAATTCGCTAATAAATACACACAGGCCACAAAACATGTAACATGTAACGTAAACAACGTAAAGCTTTGAAAACTCACTATGGTTTGCTAAAAAAAAACTTTCACTTGATGTGGTGCAGTACCGGTACCGAAGTTATTAATCTCCTTTGGTTTTAATTCTTTTTTTTAGTTTTCAAAAATCAAAGCTATTTCCTAATAATAGCATTATTTGTAAGCAGCTTTTAATGTTAACATATTAATGACAGTTTGAAGAAACCACCTTTATCCAAACAAAGGTTTCTTAAGATTACGTAATCTCTAAACGATAATCGGTACATATATCTAGCAAACATTCGGAGGAAATGTGACAAAAAACGCACAAATCTGGGGTTTTGTACGTTTGTAGTTTTATTTCCTAAGTAGGAAAAGTACCGATATCGTTGTCGAAATGTAAGTAAGTAGAAACCAAAAGTGACACATTGGAAAAGCGAGTTTAGCTACATCTGTTAAGTTAAACCTCTGTTACGGTACGATCACAGCGAAATCAGAAAGATCTTCCAAGATCGCAGCAACATCCACGATCACCCACTGCAGTCGTGATTTTTTTACTTTGCACTTTACACAACTGTCCTTGAAGCGCCGTCAATGAGTGGAAACCTTTGTAAGCTACGGTATTGGTGACGATGATTAAAAAAATAAAAGTTTCCTTGCACTAATACAACACTGATTCACGGTATTTTCCCCGGTTATCAAAACTCAAGAACAATCGTTGCACTTGCGATTAATTAAACCGGTTAAGTAAGGCACAACGTTTTTAATCTCACTTGGTTTGGATGTGCTGACAAAACTTGATCGGAAATGGTTGCGGTATTTGTAAACAACTTTTAATGTAAACATATCGGTGACAGCTAGAAGTGAGAACTAATCCAAACAGCTGATCGTTATTTCATAAAATGTAATGTAATAGTAAACACTAGCTGTGTGCCCGTTCTACGCACGGGGTTGAAACCTTCTTATATTAAGAACAGCAGGGGCCTATTGCATAAAACTACAATTTTACAATTTTACAAGTTTACAGGCAAATTTCTGAAGAATTCTTCAGAAATTGTAATTACAGGTGTTGCAAGAACTACAAGTTACAGACTTGTAACAACTACTCAAAAACCCAAATTTACAGGCATTTTTTTACAATTTTACAGGTGTATAAACTTGTATTTACAATAAAATTTTTACAATTTTACATATACCTGTAAAAATGTAAGAATTTTTTACCTAGCTTCTTTGGCCTGTAAACCTTTGTTGCTATTGTACAAGTTAGTCTTTTAAGACAAAAATGTGGAATAGTGATGATTCTTCCGATGAAGAGCCTCCACAACGCCGAAGAAGGACCTTCAAGGTGAGAAAGAATTTCAATTTTGAAAGTGCTTTTGAAATTAACGAAAGATTTCGAATGCCACCTCAAAAACTAGAAGAGATGTTAGAAATAGTAGGTCCTAACCTCGAAAGAGAAACGGCACGGAACCATGCACTAACATCAAAACAAGTTTTATGTATTGGCTTACATTGGATGGGCAATGGGAGCCAATACCATGGCCTCAGTGACATGCACGGTGTGCATAAATCGACTGTATGTCGTGCCGTCCATAACTTTGTTAGAGCAGTGAACAACACTCTCTTTCCGAGGGTGGTTGATTGGCCTGACAACATTGTACAAGTTGTTCAAGGGTTCCATGCAATCGCAGAAATGCCACTTGTAATTGGTTGCATCGATGGAACATTGATTAATATAGACGCTCCGGTTTTAAATGAACAACAGTATGTTGACCGTAAGAATAACCACTCCATCAATTGCATGGTGGTTTGTGGGCCAGACTATTCCTTCTTCTATGTAAGCGCCCGATGGCCGGGAAGCGTTCACGACGCTAGAGTCCTAAGGAATAGCACGCTCTATCATAGAATGGAGGGTGGTTGGCGCCCTATTGAAGGAGGGGTACTGTTAGGAGACTCTGGGTATCCCTTGCTTGACTGGCTGATGACGCCTACCGGAGTAAACCTCGAAGATCCGGCTGTTGCAAGATACAACCAAAAACACAAGAGTACAAGACGTATTGTGGAAAACTCCCTTGGCATGCTAAAGGAGAAGTTTCCTTGTTTAAATCACCTGCGAGTGCAACCTGTTTTTGCATGTGAAATTTTCAAGTGTTGTGTGGCCATATACAACTTCGCACGGCGTGCTGGTTTGATTGAAGTGGTTGAAAATGAGAACGAAGTCGAAGACGACGTAGAAGAACAGAATGTGAATGTGGAACAATTTGACAGAGACGGGAATGTAAGGTTGCAGGAAATAATCAACCACTTCAGACATTGACAATAGCCTGAACACTGCCTTTACGTTAAATCTCCAATATATGACTGTTTTCACATTAATCAAACTGAAGCTTGTTTTCTGTATTGTGAAATAACTTACACAGATAGATATATATAATATATATATATATAAATAAAATGTTCATATCTATTTGTATGAATTTATTTATTTATTACATTAATGATATTAATATACTAACAAATAACTATTCAAAACAGAAAATCATTAAACTAGTTAGAGTATTCTATTAAAAACATTTAAAAACCATTATTCATAGTCAAGTGAGCTCACTTCGGTCTCATTTTCAAGGGTTTCATCGTCAACAACAATCATTTGACAGTTTTGCGCAATTGGAAAGTTTTGTGTGTACTTTGATGGAGGCAATGTTAGTTCACGTTCAAGCTTTAAAATGTTTAATGAACGTTCATATTTTTCCATCTCCATGATTTCCAGTGTCAACTTGAGTTTTTTTAATTTCAACTCTTCCTCCTCTTCTTTTTTGGTCATCTTCTTTTTCATAATTTTTTTATTCTCACTTCGTTCAACTGGCATTTGGTTGTTAGTAGTCTCAGGATCATCAACGTCTTCTTCATATGTTGCATGTTCTGCAGTTATTTCTGAGTTGGTGTTCCCCCATGTGTCGGAGACAGGTAGGCCGGTCAGCACTTCACTGTCCTTTCCAATTATCTCACTGACTAGAATGTCTGTGTCAGTAAGTTTGAACTCCGGCCCGCCTCCTGTCCCAGTTGTTCTTGCATTGTCATATTTTTTCTGCAAATCAAAAATCAAACTTTTGTATTAAATCTAACTACTAAACAGTTGATACAATTAAAATAAACTCTCACAATTTTTAAATCATCCTTTCCTGGTACCTTGAAATAGGGAACATAAAAAAACCTATGGTTAACTTTTCGGTCCGCTAAACTCGAAATTTGTTATTGGCACACAATAATGGTTATTAACTAATTGAAACGAATAGATTACAGAGGTAAATAAAGTTGTTTTGATATATTGTTATCGTTTTAATAATTTTATAGTATGATATGTTAATCAAATTTAATACAAACTACCGAATAAAAAAAAGCATTACTGCACATTTTTGTCAACATTTCTTAAACTCAAATTATGTCCTCTTTATATTATAGTATTTTAATGATGGTTATATCCACGGTATGATAGAAAAATTGAAAAATGGCTGATTTCTACTATAAAAACTACTATTTTTTTATCACACTTACCATTGAGTTTTTCCTTATGTTTTGCCATAGCGTGTCTCTTGTATAGGTGTATTCTTTTTCATAAGGCACAAGTCCCAGGGCCTGCGCCTTCTTATGAATCTCCCTCCACTTGTCATTCTTCATTTGTTTCGTCAGAGATTTTGAAAATCGGCCGAATAAAAAATCTTTCTCTTCTCGAATCTGTTTTAGAATTTCTATTCTTGCTCCCTTCCGAATTGTATTATTCATTTTACTAAGGGCTTTCTTTTACAAAATGAAATATATGAAAAAGGAAGTAAACGATGTTGAATTATTCGTAGTATGCAAATATTGGGCTTGAAGTACAACTGTATAATAGTAGAGAAGGACGAAAGTGAAGTTAATAATTGAGATGAAATAAGATGAGAACGGGAGTAATGATAAATAGTTGAAGGACTATAGGGGTAAAATGTAAAGAAATTGAGATATTGCAATTGAGAATATGAGAGAGGGAAAAATTAACACAGTTTTAATGGTAGTAAGAGAACAAGACACTATTATTTATTTACATTTCTAAAATACAACATATGTTAACGATTTAATTTTATTGTAAAATTGTAATCAGCTGTTTACAATTTTTGTACTTGTTCTTACAAGTATACAAATTATTCTAGCAACACCTGTAATAGTTAAATTGTAATTACAGGGACCTGTAAACTGTAAATTTGTAAACTTGTACTTGTAGTTTTATGCAATAGGCCCCAGTTGGTTTGCATATTTTCATATATGCTGGCAAAAATATTATACACCTTCGCAAATACAGTATCTGACAGTTTCAAGCCAAAACAAACGCTTCGCAATTAAATGTCACGTCACCCCATATGTTAGTCCATGTGTTAAATCCAATGATTAAACTAAAAAGGCTTTATAGGCCTACTATGAGAAATAGATCTGAGTCATAGCCCTAAGGTAGGCCTATAGTTGAAAGTTACTTTCCACAATGGTTAAAAGTATTTAAAGTACTACCTCAACCTCACCATTTAACACTTTATTCGGGTTGACATTTTCATTATCAAAGGTGCTCAAATTGTCCTTTTCGTGACACTAAGAAATAAGGACATTAATGCGTTACAAACAGACATACACACAAAAATACAGAACTTAATTAGGGAATTTGTTACGTTTTAAGCATAACAAAGTACACATGAAATTAATATTTGAAATCTTTGTCAATGTCATCAAATTTTATCATAACAATTTATATTTGCTTGGACCGAAGATGACGCGAAATGCTGTCGAAATGACTGCTTACTATATGAAATGAAGTACTATAGACGATTTAGATTGGTAATTTATAATACAAATTACCAAAATAGGCAATGAAATATTAAAACATAACAACCTAAATCGTAAACAATTCACGATGGTTTGCTAAACAAATGTTTTACTTAAATGAGTTATCATTTTCTTAGCATAAACTAACATTTTGGAATCCAGACAGAAAAAGCAAAACTTATACAGTTAAGACATCAATTAAACTGAATAGGACTGTATAAATAAGGTGCAATACCAACGATAACTAATTTGTAAATTACAGTGATGTGTTGGTACGTAAAAATTATTCTTGCTGCTACCAATGGTTCTAAGGAAAAGAACCAGTACCAAAAACCAACGTTTACAGTTAGCAACTAAAGTACATTCGACCAATTAAATGCGTTAATCAAGTCCCAAGGTTATTGATTTCTTTGTTTTGAATTTTCTCGTAAAAAGTTATCGGCAATCAAAGTTATTTCCCATAAATTGCTTTATTCGTAAACAACTTTTAATTTAGGCCTAAACTTATTGGTGTCAGTTAAAAAAAACAACCTTATACAAACAACTTTTTGTTAATTAATAGATTACGTATTCTCTAAACAATGATTGTATATCTACGAGGCATGTTTTTTAAGTAAGTACCGTTTTTTAGTTTCTCCGTTCCAGCACTGCGATTGGCATTTCGGACATTTGCGCTGTATATGTGCATCTATTGGCTAGCCCTAGCCCGAAATTCGACAAAAATCGGCCCTGTTTACATCCGGTTTCGAGCAATTCAAAATGGTGCCGCCAAATGAGACTGCCGCCGACTGTGAAGTGCGCGCTGTAATTATGAGTGACGGAATGTTACGCAAGTGGGTAAGGGCATCTAAAGACGGCCCCACCAACGCCCATCATGAGCAACGCACTGGACGGCGTAAATGTCCCCAGTACTCAGTGCATTGCTCATCATGAACGTTGGTGGCGCCGTCTTTAGATGCCCTTACCCACTTGCGTACCATTTCGTCACTCATAATGTTCTTGCCATACACCTCACTAATCTGTCGATACATTTCAATGGATTTCACACCTTTAGCACTTAAAAATCTAATTACAGCGTGCACTTCACAGTCGGCGGCAGTCTCATTTGGCGGCACCATTTTGAATTGCTCGAAACCGGATGTAAACAGGGCCGATTTTTGTCGAATTTCCGGCTAGAGCTAGCCAATAGATCCACATATACAGCGCAAATGTCCGAAATGCCAATCGCAGTGCTGGAACGGAGAAACTCAAAAACGGTACTTACTTAAAAAACATGCCTCGTATTAACATTAGAAAGAAATGTGACAAAAATCACACAATGCTGGGTTTTTGGACGTTTGTAGTTTTATTTCTTTAGTAGGGAGGCCGTGTATTCTAGGGAAAAGTACCGGTATCAAGGATCGTCGTCAAAAAGGTTGTTATGAATAATGGGGTAGGCCTAAGTACCCAAGAGTTGGGCTATGGGCCTATTGGCTATATGGTCCAGCGATTGCATCACACGGTGAGTAGGAACAAAAAGTGACACATTGGAAGCGAGTTTAGCATCATCCATAAACCGTAAACCTCTGTTAATCGCCCACTGCAGTTGTTTACTTTACACTTTACACAACCGCCATCGAAGCGCCGTCAATGAGTGGAAACCTTGTTTGTAAGCTATTGGCGACGATCATTAATAAATTTAAGTTTCCCAGTCCTATACAACACTGATTCAAGGTCTTCTTTCTGGTTATCTAACCTCAAGAACAATTTTATACACAAAGAATATCTGGTTCCTGACCTGGATGACGCCTAGTTATTTAATATCATTTACGGTTACACTATATTATTCCACTTGCGATTAATTAATTAAATCCGTTATGTAAGAAAAACGTTTTTAATCTTACTTGGTTAGGATTTGCCTTCAAAATGTGATCGGAAATGGTTGTGGTATTTGTAAACAACATTTGTAAACATATCAGTGACAGCTAGAAAAAATAATCTTGATCCGAACAGCTGTTCGTTATTTCATAGATGATTATTTGATAAAAATTGGACGTAAACTTGACAAAAATCGCACAAAACTGCATTTTTGAACGTCCGTAATTTTATTTACAAAGTAGTGAGGCCATATTTTAATGGCTAAAGACACTCTCACCAATCCAGTGAAAACATCAAAATGACTTGGATCGTGATAGGTACTCTCGTTTTCCTGGAGAAGATTGCGTAAAATGCCGTCTTGAGTGTTACAGAAAGGACAGACAGAAATTTAGATGAGACTTGTTTCGGCTTCTTTAATGTATAAAACGTAAAAATAACCTAAAACTTTATGATTCTGAGCAATGTACAGACAAAACTCTAATTTTATTTATATAGATTGGGAGAAAATTTGACAAAAATCGAACAAAATTGGGTTTTTGGTGGTTCGTTATTTTGTTTTCGAAGAAGCGAGGCCATGTTTTTATAGCCAAAGACGCTCTCACCAATCCAGTA